ATTTATGCATTATCGATATACGAGTATGATATAAAGTACGTCCGTCTCCATAAAGGTATTGATACGCAGGAGTTTTGGCTACAACTGGCTACAGGGTATGTCCGAGTTGAGCACCTTTATTTGTTTGATATTTGTTTTTTGTTGTTTTGGTTTTTCTTTCTTTTTGCTTGCGGCTCAAGAGGAAATACTTTATGGGCATTGATAATTTGGGCCATAATGTGCAGTGAAATTGACTCGCTTAGCGTTTGCTAATTTATGTGACCGGCTTGGGCAACAATAACGTTGCAACAACAGCGATGTTGCAAGCACAATGTGCTTGTGGGAAAGCAATGTTGATGATTTTGGGCGCCTTTGCATTTCATAAGTATTCACCTGGCCGCTGTTGCCCGCACAGCTACATAATTGGCATTAGGTGTTTGGCAATGGGCCAACTTGGCCAGCCGTCAAGCAGTTAACCATTTAACCAGTTGGCCGGCCACACTGCCATAAGCCAAACAGTTTGTCATTGTCATTCGCGTGCAACGCGGCGCATGCGCAATTTCCATACAATTACCATAATTTCACTGCCGCCTTTTAGAATTTTAATAAACACTTTGACCAGTAGCTGCGCCGCGCAGGCAGCTGAAGAGTGAGCCAACCTCAACTGGCAGACTTCATGTTTAATGATCGCTCCTGGCGATGACTTTGACACTGCATCTAACAACTGCCGCAAACGCTCCAAGATGACGTTACAAAACTTGGCTCCGATTTGTTGTAGCATTTTCCGACATTTTCAATTGCAGCATGACTACTGCTGCTGCTGCTGCTGCTGCTGGCGGCAATCGAGTTTGTGTAGCAGAAAAAAGAATTATTAAAAAACAGTGACAAACTACAAATAGCTATGGTTCTGCACAATTTATGAGTCATATGCATAGCTGGAGGAGAATTTACTTTCAGAATTTAGGTAATAATAATAATAATAATAATAATAATAATAATAATAATAATAATAATAATAATAATAATAATAATAATAATAATAATAATAATAATAATAATAATAATAATAATAATAATAATAATAATAATAATAATAATAATAATAATAATAATAATAATAATAATAATAATAATAATAATAATAATAATAATAATAATAATAATAATAATAATAATAATAATAATAATAATAATAATAATAATAATAATAATAATAATAATAATAATAATAATAATAATAATAATAATAATAATAATAATAATAATAATAATAATAATAATAATAATAATAATAATAATAATAATAATAATAATAATAATAATAATAATAATAATAATAATAATAAAAAAATAATAATAATAATAATAATAATAATAATAATAATAATAATAATAATAATAATAATAATAAAAATAATAATAATAATAATAATAATAATAATAACAATAATAATAATAATAATAATAATAATAATAATAATAATAATAATAAAAACAAGAAAAATCATTTCAAGTATTATAATCGACCATCCAAAGTTCAATTATCATAGATAAAACATATCGGTCCGACGAAACGAACAATATTATCAGAAACTTATAAGTACGAAGTGACAGACACACGATTTATGTAGAAAATACTTATTTATATATATGTATGTTCTCTAAGGTGAAGATGGCGGCGTCACTTGATGGCTTTGATTGTGGAAATAATCGATATTGTCGATAGAATTCTCGAACGTTCCAAATGCCACCGAATCAAGTAAACAGGCAGGCAGACTCCCCAAGACCTTCTGTAAAGATTGTATTGCAGCCACACAATCAAACAAATAAATGAGAAAATTCGAAAAAATATCCTAGAGTCACAGTTTAAAAGACACTGCCTTTTGGTGACAGTCAAAGAGTTGCCAAGTTTGAATCCGATCGGAAAAAATACAATTTTCACCAATTTTCCAGGCTTGCGAGTGGAATTGCCAAAACCTCGTCATAATGTTCATTTGTTTACATCACTATTTACAAAAAATCTTCGTAGCTTGAGCATCAATCATCTAGTCAATCATTTAGGATAGAGATGTGTCCCCTTTTAAAATGGAAATCAAAAGTAATGTAAAACTAAAGCAGCTAGGCCCAGTTAAATTGGTAAAAACTGTTAAGATGTTGGTATTTGAAAGGCAATTATAGCGTATATATGTCTTTACCAAATTACGCATACCACAGGATAGACGATTGAACGGTTTGATGGCTGCCATGCTGAGTCTCACGACATCTACAACTCCATTGCCACTTACTAAATATTCAGCTTTGGTCTTAGCCATTTTCGAGAGCAGTTAAAACGTGCAGTAAGTTAGTTGGCCACATTTTGGTAGCTAGCCAAAAAAAAAAAAAACCTCGCGCTTGCGACTCACTTTCACCAGGCAGCATAAAGCGTCGTCATCTGCGTTGTCGCCTGTGCCACTGACTTGGCCACGATAACCCACACGAAGCTGGTGGCGGGGGAGCGTGCGGCACATCGTTGGCCTGGTGTTAAGTGTAAAAAGCCATAAACATGTTTTTGCAGATACACATTGCAGGTCCATTGCACGCATGCCACACTAGGATGTCGATGCCAACACCAACAGGAAAAAATCGACAATATTTCTCCAAGCCGAAGATAAGATACCCTTCTAGACATATGGCTTGGAAACCTTTAGTTCCGTTCGATTGCTTCGGTAGGAGCTCTATAAAATATTGATCAGTACAACAGCCTTCCATACAAATACTCTTCCATCGATTCCTCCCATTGATACGATGCTGTCGGTTGATATTTATGAGATATGTTTGATATGAAGGAAACATGGTAAAGCACTCAAATGCAATATTAGCCCGAGATGTTTTGAAAAACAAGAACTTCCGACAGCTATATGACATTGTGATCCGATTCGACCAATTCCCACATATGTACTGCCTTTTGCGGTCGGTGACGTCTTCTTCGATGCGTTACAAGACTCGTGACAAAATTAGAATAGCCTCTAGAAGGGTATAACAGCAACTGCAACAATGGCTTGCCATAAAATTTTGAGCATATGATAGCACCTAGCAAGTCCAAGACAGACTCTTGAATCGTTGCCTGTTGTTGTGGCTGTTGATGTTGTTGCTGTTGTTGTTGCTTATGCCATAAACACTTCATCGACACTTAACCGAGTGCGTCGACGACCACATGTCCCCTTAGCCTCCGATCTGATCCCGGTTTGAGGGTGTGATACATCAAACATGGGCTGCAAACAACGTTTATTGTGGCTGGAGCAGCCCGACACAGAGACCGTATTGGAGTTCGAATTGCGAGCTCTCGGCTCGGCTCGAATCCGATCGGATCGGGTCGGCTGCTACACTTTCCTTGGCCAAGTTGCGGAAGCAACATTTAATTGACTTGGCGTGTTAAGCGCTGCATACCAGCACATAACAGCAATCAACCGACAAACAACTTGTGGGACGTGCGAGGATGACGACGACGACGACGACACACTTTGGGCACTTATTGGCAACGCTTAATGCACGTTGGAGCTTGAGGATGAGGATCGAGTGCAGCAGAAACAGCAGCAGCAGCAGCAGCCGCGACTCCAACTGCAACTGGCATTCAAACAATGCCAAGTAGCTTCATAGTTAATTGAGCGCAGCTGATTGAGCGTGCAATGCGGACCGGCAGCTCGTCAGGCGCTGAGACAGATGCAGTAAAGTCTCACTGCCCATTAGCGCTGTCACTTGGCGAGGCGGCGCATATCATTTACAAATGCTGCGACATGCACCGAACATCAAAACAGAACAGCGAGCCGGACGGTACGCAACTGACAATGCCAGTGGCAGTGGCAGTGGCATAACGACGATTACCATCGCACAGAGCAGACACGGACACATCGAGGTCAGCAGCGATGCCGGCAGCGACGACCAAATTGCCGGCCGATGCCGATGCCAGCCTTGGACGCATTTCAATAAAAATTACACTTTGTAAACTTTAAGCGGCAGAATCAATTAGCACAACGCCTGCCTTGCCAAGCAGCGAGTTGCCAAGCTGGTTCCAGCCTTGTGCTCTCCCTGTGCAACTCCCTTTGAGCCTTGTCTTGTTCTTGTCCTTGCCCGATATCATATAAATACATGGATCATCATCATCGTCAGCGTTGTGCCTTTTCGCTAGCGGCATTGCACCGCAAACACAGCACCACCAAGTGACCACCTTAGCATTGGGGTAACGTTGATTTGCTGCCAGAGAGTCAGAGAACTTCCATTCAGCTAATTCTATCCAGATACCTATCCAAGCGTGACCAATCGAATGCCAAGGCTTGACTGGCATATACGCATTTACACAGCTAGTAATCTTTCTCTATATGTAAAACTGTTTGTTCTGATTGACTGACTGATTGACTGATTGATTGGTGATCAACGCATAGCCCAAATCTTAAGAAGCAGCTAAGAAACTGAAATGTTCACTGTAGTTGCCTTATGTAATGGAAGAAATTCCACCCGCAAGTGTGGAAGAATCGTGGAAAACCATTTTATTAATCCTTTTTTGATTGCCATCCGGTCAACCTCAAACTCATATTCAAAGATCTTTGCTCAAATTTATTTTCGATCATTCGCAAAAGCCATTTCTCCTGGGAGACAAAGATTTGGTGGATTACGTTTCGGATGCTAATTCATATTCAAGGATCTTATTGAAAAATCACACTTTTCGTATAATCCAAGCTGATGAATATGCGAGATTTTACGGATTTTATTTGCACGTGTTTCAATGAATTTTTGGAAATTGCACCCGGAACTATGGAAGATTGGCGGAAAGCTTTTTTATTTAGCAACTTCAAAATGTTGTTTCAAAAATGTTTAAAAAAATATCTTGCCAGAAAATCAGGTCAAAGGTTGTTCGCCTGAAGCTTTAATTTTGGTCGGATCGGCTGCAAACATCTATAAAAAATGTATACAGATAATTTAAAGTAGACATTTCTATTTAAAACACACACTTATTTAAGCTGATTTATTTCTTTTTTGGGGAACAGTTGAATTCATTTCTTGTTGACATTTTAAACAAACATCAAACAATAAGGTAGAATATATATATTTATATTTATAAACTTTTTGTGAACCTGCAATGCGTAAGCAAGGCAAAAGTATGCTAAATGGCGGATACACAAGCAACCCCGCCAAGACCATTATTTCCGATGGATATGGCACAGCAAAAGTTGGCAACAACGTTGATAGTTTTTATAGAAAACACAGTCAAGCTCTTGCTCAAAGGCAACAAATCAATGGGCAGCACTATAATCAACGGAACGTAACTTTCGTCGACAGTGTTGCACAATCTGTGACGCCCGATGTGGGCGACAACGTGCCACATGCGTCATGGCGCTGCCATAAGCATCGTGCAAACCTTTCAAGACTGAAGCTGCCCTTCGCTCAAAAGCCAAAGAAGCAGCAGCTGCAGCAGCTGCAACCGCTGCAGCCACATCGACAGGAACAGGCCCATAACAATCGACGTCAGCAGCAGCGCCAGGTAAATATCCACTGATGCTCACAATAGATGTCCCTTTTATCCCATGTGCTCATCCTCTAAGAAGGGGCCACTGCCAGGCGCTGCAAATCAGTGGTATGCGCTCAGCAATCGTGTCCATAAACACGGCACCACCATCGAGATGTTGTACACTGGTCTAACCGTGCCACAGCCCAGGGAGCAGCTCGACGTGCGTGCCATATCGGGAGTCACACACGTGACCATGGAGTTGCCGGCAGGGGTGTTACCCAACATCAGGAATAGTACTCCAGACATGCCGTCCCTGATAAACGCCATGGATTTCTTTAGGTGCCCCGAGCGTCATCCACCCGCTCCCGGCATGGGGCCCAGCACGACCATTCAGGTCATACCCAAGGACAACAACAACAATGTCAACCCAAACAACATGGACAGCATTGAGGTGATGCCGTTGAGCTGTGCACGGGCTGCACCCCTGAAGCGCAACTCATTGAATGTGGCCTTCCAGAGCTACAGCTTGATGCAGCTAGAAGTCGATGAGGGCCAGTCCCAGGAGCCGGGCAGAGTGGTCATGGATGCGGAAATATCGCCAACATATATGCTAACAACACATCAGCAGCTGCGCCTGCAGGCGGCCATCATGCAGGAGAATGTGCCGCTGGCCGATGCTTTGCTGCCCATCGTGGAGGATTTGTATGAGGAGCACGAGCAGCTGGATCGTGCTGGGCTCCAACTGCTGCCAGCTCCGACACCACTGCCGTATGGCACAATGCGGTTTCACTACGGCCAGCCGTCAAGTATGGCCAGCTCAAAGCCAGTCGCCTTGCCGAAAGCAAGTCCGGCTCGGCTGCCCGATTCTGTGATCCAACAGAGCCAGGATGCGGGCCAAAGACGCGCCATACGGGAAAATGGCACCGTCGATTATGTGGATGTTAATGGCACTATAATGGCACTAGATCCATATGGAAAATATCAACCAATGTTGTTTTCGGAATGGTGTAAGACAAAGAGCAACAGCTGCAAATAGCCGAATCATCGTTTAACAATGCCAATTGATACCACTGAAGACTTAACCAATTCTAAGAACTATCCGAGTTGAACTAGACAGTCTTCACAAATTGGAATTATCACACAAATGAACGTATTTTACAAGAATGAAAAAAATTATAGGTAATACGATATAGGTAGTTGAAACTCAAGATTACAGTCGATACGGTCGTAAACGAACACTAAATTTGAATAATGTTCTAAAAAAACAAAAAAAAAAAAAATGAATAGCCATTTGTAGAAACGAGCACGGTTGAATCCATTAAAATAAGCATTCAATTGAAATCTGTCGGCAAGGAGGAACTCCAACAACTACACCAAAATTTTTTTTTTTTTCGAAATTCATAGCAGTTTTAACTATAAATATCCCCAATCAATACGCATATGAACTTTGAAGAGAAAAATCATTGCATATTTTGTAAAAACCGTCGGAGTTTTGTATGCATTTTGGAAGTCAAAGTCAATGAAATCTTTCATTCCTTATCACACGATAAGGTGCTATTACAAATGTATATATGTGTATGTAAATTTATTTTACTTTCCTGTTAATAATAGTTTTTTATGTTGCTATAAAGATACATTTTTCAACAAAAACATTTTGCATTCAATTCTTATAACCTTTAGAAGACATTAGAAGTGTATCATGAAATGTGCATAGTGCCTAGAAAGAAGTATATATAATCCCATGGATTGTATTTGTTCTTGATCAGTATAAAGAGTCGAGTCCATATAGCCATTTGCCCGCTTGTCTGTTTCCATGCTAACTAGTCTCAGCGTTCAAGCTATCGTTATCGTTATCAACAATTGCATAGATCCGTCCGTCTGTACGGGAAGTATATATGACGGAGTCAGCCAAATCGATCCACTAAATCATATAGCTGCCATAGAAATGATTGGTATAAAATCAGTTTTTGAAGTAATCATTTTGTATTTTCAAGTTTTTGTTGAATAAATTCCGCATTTATTAGTTACATATATGCAAAATTCTATCAACATCGGACCGCCATATATAGCTGACACAAGAACAATCGTTCGAAAATTAAGTTCTTGCGTGAAAAACAGTTTTTACCCTGCATTTACAAGTTTCACTATGCTGCTTGTATATATATAGCCAAATCTTATCAAAATTGTACTACTATATTATATAAATATTAGTTTTTGACTGGTTTATTTTACAAGACATTTTCACCAAGCTCAGCACGATATATATCTATGTAAGGCAACTGTCCACCAGAGTATTTAATCTACGGTGTGTCGAAAATAGCTGTACTTTCTCGTTTATATTCAGGCCTTGCTTTTCGATTCTCATACAATTTTCACGATAGAAACGTTTTATAAACTTATTGCATCTTTAATATACATTAATACTTTATACGATACATATAAATTCAATGAAAAATTGTGTCGCTATTAAGATCAGACTTCTCTTTCATATAGCCTTATAAGACGTATTGGTGGGATTACATGATAAGTGAACTCTTTGGTTAGGCTCATTTTTAATTACTTTATTCAATGGTAAATGAGCATAAAAATAGGAATAATAAACGTAAGAAGAATATTTTAAAAAATAATAATACCGAGACTTGTAAGAGAGTTGTAAACTGGAAATTACTCAGCCGAGAGCACGCACCGAGGTGCGAGCAGCAACAAAGGAGCAACTTCCCATTCCATTCTACCTGTGCATAGAAAAGTGCGTGTGGCTTGCTTAATTAAAATTTAACGCAATATGCTTGACTCTGCCGGCAACCCGACCCCGACCCGTTGCCAGTCATCGACTTGGCAAGGGCGACCAGCTAAGTTTTTGGAGTGTGCTCCGGCTGAATGCCCCCAGCCAGCATACTCGGCATCAAAGTATCTGCGATGTGAGTATCGCGACTTGGGTCGACCTGACGCTCTGGAGCTGCTGTTGCCATTGCAGCGCTGAGATTCGCGCCCCACTGGCATGCTGTAGTTTGTTCATGTTGAGGGTTTTGTCAAGAAATGAAAGCTTCGATGCTTGAAGGTTTAACGAACTCGTACGCTGGCACAACCCCAGCGGCGGGAACAGCAGAAGCAGAAGCAGCAGCAGCAGCAGGAGCAGAAACAGGAGCTGGAGCAGCAGCAGCAGCGCCAGAATAATTTTCAGCTCCAGGATCATAACCGTCAACGTTTTCGCCTTTGACGTTTGTATAAAATTTCGTTGCCCTGCTGCAGCTTCTGCTGCAAGTGTAATTTTTACTTTCACCCCAGCAAATGCTGCTGCTGCCGCTGGTTCTGCTGCTCCTGCTGCTGTTTGTGTTTTTGTTGTCCCATGTGAGCGCGCTGCAACACTTGTCCTGATGATGACATTCATGCCCAAGAGCTACTCTTAATGGAACACAGAAGCAGGCAGATAGACAAGCAGCCAACGAAAAACGAGAAACGGGAAGCGAGTAGCGAATGGGTGCACAGAGAGGGTGACTGGTAAAGGAAAGCAGCTAAATCCAGAGTCGATTCAGATTCAGATTCAGATACACAAAGGCGACATACGGCATGGCCGTACAGCTGAGGGCGGCCCACGCAATGGGCTTGGCGCGTTTTGCTCGATTTGTCTATGCAACATCCTGCAACTGAATGGTATCAAATGATCATTCGATTGCGGCTGAAAATATTCAAACGTAATCAACAAATACTGGCAAAGCCACAAGGCGCACAGCCCGCCCCTCGCCAGCAGTCAGCTATGCCATGGTTAAATCTCAGTGCATTGCTCCCGCATGGCCCAAGTTGTGGCGCCGACCGCTGCTGCTGATGCTTAAGAAATTATGCACAAAGTGAAGGCGCACAAGTGCACAAAATAAAGCAGATGGCAATGATGTTGTTGACGATGTTGCAGGTGACCCATGCCCAAGTCCAAGTCGCAGCCCAAGTCCCTGTGCCAGCCCCAGCCCCAGCCCACAGTCTTCAAAGTTGTCAAGGAAGCGGCATCAACGCTGACTGCCTGCTGTGTTGCCGCCATTGTTGTTGCTGTTGTTGTTGCAAGGATGCTAAAAACAATAGAAAGCACACACAATTATATGTGTACCTATGCACAAGTATGTGTGTGTAGTTTGCTTTTTAAATAATTACGAAACATGCCAGCGACTCCCCCCGTCAAGTGCCTGGCGAACTCTCTGTTCTCATATTTTGCATAATTTGTTGCCAAGTGTTAAGCGGTCAAATGCCAGGAGACCCACAACAATTTGCGCAACCCTCGCGCTCGTGTCCTGTGGCAAGTACTTTAACCCGTCTCCAAATGCAAACGCATTATTCAGTATGGACTCATCACGAATGCTCTCCCCTTCTGTTTTAACCAACTTCTTTGTATTACCCCTCCGCCAAGCACTTGTACTGCACGTTAAATCTACTTGCACATTGGACAATGCCTGCTTTTATCAGCACACACACAAACTGAACCAAGAAACACGCAAATAAAACAAATCATTTGGTGACTAGCTTTAAAGCTGCGGGCGATATAGTTAAAAATGGTTTTGTTCTTGAATATTTTATGTTTTTATTCAATTTATTTATGTACTAGCGGGTATAACCCGGCCTTGCCCGTGGCACGTATGTTATAAAATCAATGTTTTCAAAAAGCTTTGAAAATGATTTTGAAACTGATCGGACGGGAATCAAACAACTTTTATGCAAATCGGACAAAACTTAAAATTCACCAAAAAAATCTTTGAAATGCATTTCCACCGAAGGAGTTTAAATGTGAAAGACGTCTCAAATGATTTTTCTTATAGATCTTTGGAAATAGATTTGAACACAAAAGTCATCCACCAAATCTTCGACCCCCATTTGCACCAAGGAAGGATGGATATTTCGAAAAGTGTGAAACACCCCTCAAATGAATTTGAACATAGATCTTTGAAAATGAGTTTGGGACCGATCGGATGATAAACAAAAAACTTTCATACAACCGTTTTCCGCCAATTTACCACTGTTGCGGGTGGAATTTTCCAAATCGTCGAAATACGTATTCATTAAGTTCTTATTGAGAGCTTTGAAAATAAGTTTGAAGCAAATCGGACACAACTTAAAACTTCGCCCAAAAAATCTTTAAATCGCCCTTCCCACGAAGAAGTTTGGATTCTGCCCAAAGTGTGAAACACGTCTCAAATGATTTTTCTAATAGATCTCTGGAAATGAATTTGAGTGCGAAACGTCACCCACCAAATCTTTGACCTCCATTTCCACCAAGGAGGAATGGATTTTTCAAAAAGTGTGAAACACCCCTCAAATGAATTTAAACAAAGATCTTTGAAAATAAGTTCGATACCGATCAGATGGTGAACAAAAAAGTTACATACAAACGTTTTTCGCGATTTTTCCACATTTGTGGGTGGAATTTCCCGAAACCCCGTCTTAACGTGCACCTACATCACATAAGGTAACTACAGTGAAAATTTCAGCTTCCTAGCTCTTACGGTTTGGGCTGTGCGTTGATCACCAATCAGTCAGTCAGTCAGTCAGTCAGTCAGTCAGGACAAACAGTTTTATATATAGAGATTTATGGATTCCAGTACAACAGTACACCACAATAGGCTGGGAATTAAACATTTTTTTAAATAAATAAATAATCATCACTGACTAGCTTTTTTCTGTGCCACAGCGTTAACTGCTAATATAAATTGAAAATAAATAAATAAAAAAAAATAATATATATCAAACTTGGGCTCGTCCGGGATTTGAACCCGGGACCTCCCGCACCCTAAGCGGAAATCATACCCCTAGACCAACGAGCCAGTTGTTCAACTGATGCCAAGTTGCCGTGAAGAGCTGCCAAGCGGCAGAGCCTGTTCAACCATTTCTACCAATTCAACCAATCCAAAAATAGACCCAAGCGAGCAGCCGCAATCAGCAAGACAGAAACAAACAAGTGAAAGTTGCTGATGAAACAAAAATACGTTTGCTTTGTATTAACAAATTGATGGGCAACATATTAAACGAATTACATTTTTTTTTGAATTATGCAACAGATCGCCAATCACAGTCCCCCTTCCATTCGAATTGTTTACTTGCAGTGGTAGCCAACGGGCGGGCGTACTAACTTGGCGGTAAGATCTATCTCGCGAGTGGTGTTGATGTTGTCGTCTTGGTTATAGATATAGTATTCCACCTCGTCTTCATCGCTGGACGAGATGGTATATAGATCCATTTCCATTTCCTGTGCTTGCTCACGCAATTCCAGCTGACGCATATCCAACAGCTCTGGCACGAACTCTTCGGGCTCCTCCTGCTCCGTGCCCGTCAGACGACGTTGCCCGAACAGCTC